TGACATTTTTCAGCTAGCCAGTGCTTCTCTGTGGATGACAGTGTGTAGACTCATATTCAGAAATGACCTCTTTGACCTGAATAATAAAACCAGAATGCCGTCCAGTCATGGAGCTAGCTCCATTTGTGCATATACTAACACAGAGTGATCAATTCAGTTTTTCTGATATATAATCATTCAGAGACTTTTTTTTTTCCAGGCAAAAGCACAACTTTATTTTCATTTCTAAAAAACACAGTTGAACAAGAACAAAGGAGACTGTGCAGTTCAACTTTCTATTTTAATAAAATCAGAATACGCATAGCACATGCAGTGCTAGCATCTAAACTAATACAATAAGCAATTACTAAAGCTACAGTGACTTGAGGTTCAATTTACATTCAGCAAGTTTAACTCCATTCTTAAATGATTTTTGAAACTAACTGAAAATATTGCTTGCTGATAAAACTTGCTCAAATGCTATTGCTCAGTGTACAAGTCACTGATTATGCCAATACAACAAAGATAACCACATGTTTGAGGATTGCAATGTGCCAGACATTCACTGAAAAAAAAATACACAAAACTAAACTCAATAAACATCTGATAATCTGGACACTTCAGTGTTTTGAAGTGTTTCATTAATATCTTAAGACAAGTGTATCAAAACCTTGGCATGATTTAATTTCAAGTCGCCAATTTTGTTTTTACTAACATCAGAAAGTTATGGCTACACTGCCAATGCCGGGTCTGCTTAATTTGACCTAAGAGTTTAATATGACTTAACATTAAAAGCTCACACTACCCCTAAATATATAATTTTATGCATATGGTGACATTCAACATTCAAGTGCCAGTGTTTTTGTACTGTCTTTTGGTCAAGTTTCTTTAAACTTTCAAAGAATCACTTTTAGGTTTACAAAAATAAATATCTGTCAAAATGTTCAATAAATATTACATGAAACTAGCAGCAAAAAGTATCTAGAAATCTGTCGTGTGCAAATAGTTTTCTTCCCAACTGTCATTCCCATGGCCCCAAATAAATTTTAGAATCTAGTCCCATCCACTTCCTAGACAAGCTGCGTTCAACAATCTCCAAGAGACAAAATAAGATTGGAAGTTTTAAGGACACGCACAAGACATATATATATAAAATTCTCTGTGCAATAAAAGAAGTACTTTGTAAAAAGTTATGGGCAAAATGTACAAGGGCCTAAACCTAGACTAATTGAAGTAGCACCATAACAAATGACCTCAATACTGTCAAGTGCACCTACTTAAAAAAATTTTAGAACAACTTGCAAATCTATTGCACTTTAGGAAATTTTTACCATCTTTCCATGCCACTGTAAAAAGATTGAGTGTTTGGATCACCACATTCTGGCCACAAAATTAGCCCAGAATTCAAAGTGACAGAGGCATTTTAGTGGTGGACAATGCTCGTCTTTGGCCAGATTTAGCATAAACAGACCATAAATACAATGGAAACCTATGCAACTAAAACTGATTAAACTGCACTGTGGAGCAGAATTGACACCTTGTGCTGTTATGTACATATTCCCAACCTGTGTGATCTCAAAGATTTCAGTTTGTTATTCTTCTGAAGCCATTTTTACAAAGCCAGATTAACATCTCAACACAGCTTGAAAAGAGTAATGTGAATTGGCATTTAAAATAAAGCCTGCTGCATAATTCTTCCTGTTCATACGCTCTTGACCAAAAAACATCAACACTAGCATGCGTTACTGGACCAAAAATCATCCAGGGCCCTAAGGAGGGCTGGTCATTGCTGTGGTCAGCCATTCTACCATTTCAATTTCATTTATGGCAGGCATTTAAAAAGTCTAAGTAGATGACTTCTCCTAAAAACCTATTTCAAATTATCAGACCTTTAAGCTTTCCCTGTAATAACATGCCCACATTTGGCTAGCTCATAATTAATGATCTGCCTAAACATTGAAAGAGGAATTGCTGTATTTACTTGCATTAACTTTGAAGACAGTGCTTTGAATGTATGCATGTATTCATACATCACCTCATCATGACTGGAATGGCTTGTTTAAAGACTATCAGGTTCTAAATACCTATCCAGGATAGAGTGAGCAAATCAGAACTTTAACAATACAGTTTGCCACATTAGAAACTAATTGCATTAATATGCTTTAAGATGTTTGTTGTTTTCTCCCAATCTGCAAGTATCAAAAAGCCTTAATGCAGGCTACTGCGTATGTTTTTTCCTTATACTATTTATGGATGAATTGATGATTCCTGTTAAGTTGTATCACACCTGTGTGCCAAGGTTTGATTTTAGCCCAAGTTCAGTAAATTTATTTTGTCAAAACAGTTGATATCTTGAGCATTACTGAGCCAATAGGAGATCAAAATAAAAAGGTGTCTAAAGTTAAAGGCACAATACATTAACAAACAAATGATCCTCAGTCACAAAATTATAAATGCAGTTTGGGATGGGGTAGGTGGGAGGGGAGTTAATCCAAACTACAGCAGTGAAGTCTTCAAACCATCTTCTGAACAGGGCTGCTGATTATTCCTCTCATTCCTTCTTGTGACCTTGAGCTCCCTTAAAAAAAAATTTCAGTGGAGAATCACAACTGGTAATGTACTGCAAGTTCTTGAAGCTACACAAGGTATAGTCTGGCTAAATTACATGTGGTTTCCATATTGGGTTGTTTGGCAGGGTGACGTACTGCAAAGCAGGCTCAGTTACCCCACCAGTCAACCCCCTGGGAGTTGTAATTTCCTCCATAACCATCACTGTTGTATAAGCCTCCATAGCCACCTCCACCAACTCCTCTGCTGCCGCCATGGCCACCTCCACTACTGCAACTGCTGCTTGCATGGCTGCTGCTGAAGCTGGAACTGCCAGTGCCACTACTTTGTCGACATACTCTGGCACCGAACCCTCCACTAAATTTACTGCTCTTGGAACGTCCGCGACTGTTACCCTTGTAGTGGTGTTCGAAAGCCATGTTTTCTAACCAAGATGGCACCTCTTGTTTTGCTTCAACAAGAAGATCCAACAAATCCTTAGTAATATTTGTGTTCCTGTCATTGAAGAATGAGGTGGCAAGGCCAAGGTTTCCTACACGTCCTGTACGGCCAATGCGATGGACATACTCTTCAATATCACTTGGTAGGTCAAAATTGATAACATGTTTCACATTTGAAATATCCAGTCCTCTTGCTGCTACTGCAGTAGCCACTAGAATATGGCTTTTTCCTGAGCGGAACTGATGGAGGGCTTCTTCCCTATCTCTTTGAGAACGGTCTCCATGGATACTGGTACAAGCATATCCCTCATGGTATAAGAAATCCTCCAGAGAATCTGCACCCTTTTTTGTCTCCACAAACACTAAGGTCAGTGAATCCTTGCCTGTTGCATTTAGGAGGTCAAGAAGAAATGACCGTTTGTCTATGTCTTCCACCCAAACGACTTTCTGTGTAATGTTCTCAGAAGTAGAGCCAACCCTTCCCACAGCCAGAAAGATATATTCATCTAAGAAATCACGAGCCAGCATCTGTATTTCCTTAGGAAAAGTAGCACTAAACATCATAGTGTGGCGAACACCTTTTGGAAGCATAGTATCTTGTTCAACAATTCTACGTATCTGAGGTTCAAACCCCATATCCAACATCCGATCAGCTTCATCTAACACCAAGTATTTGCAGAAGTCTAATCCAATCTTTCCTCTTTCCATCATATCCACGAGACGTCCTGGAGTAGCTACTAACAAGTGGCATCCACGTTCTAAGTCTCGAATCTGCTGACCAATATCAGCACCACCATAAACTACACAAGGACGAACTCTAGATCGGTATGAGAATTTTCTGGCTTCTTCATAGATCTGTACTGCCAACTCTCTGGTTGGTGCCAACACCAAGGAGATTGGGTATTGTTTGCGGCGCCCATACCTTCCATTTTCCTTCATGGCCCTCAAAGCTTCACCTGGACCATCTGAATAAATCTGACTCAAGATGGGCAACAGAAATGCTGCAGTTTTTCCAGACCCTGTTTGGGCACAAGCCATCAAGTCTCTTTTCTCTTTGATGATAGGAATAGCATGCTTCTGCACTGGAGTTGGGCGAGTATAACGAGTAAGTTCAATGTTTCCCATAATAATTTCTCCCATCTCAACATCACTGAAACTTTCAATATGTGGAGGACAGTTGTTGCCTGTTGCCTCAACTGGAATGTCATTGTATTTCTCAAAGTTAATCCCAGTGTTGTCTCCAGAAAAGAGTTCCTGTTCCAAGCGTTCACTTGGTGGGAGTGGTTTTGACCAGTCATCGTCATCTGATTTGTCACACCAGTGACTGTTTCCACCACGTTCAAATTTGCCAAAGCCACTCCTGTCTCCACGGGTACCAGAGCCATCATAGTCACCCCGTCCACGATCATCAAATCTTCCCCTTAATCCACTCCCACGATCACTGAAGAAGCTAGACTTCCCTCTTGAATCATTGCGAGATCCAAAACTGCTGTATGCATCCTTATCTTTACTAGAACTCCACCCTGAACTGTCTCTGTCGTAGTATCCTTTAGTAGCTTCTCTGTTCCTTAAATGAGGAGGAATATAACGTCCGTTGCTGGCTGTACTTCCTCCAGTCTGATTATCTGAAGAGTTCAGGTCTAGGCCAGCAAACTGCTGGTCCAGCCCGAGCGCATTTTCCACCTGCACATGACTCATCCCTGAAGAATACCGAGAACTCGGAGCCTTCCGCTGCCGAGCGAGTGCGCCTGATTCACCGCAACGGACCTCTCACGGGAGAACTGAGGCTCTGGAGCGCCCTGATTCACCGCAACGGTCCTCTCACGGGAGAACTGAGGCTCTGGAGCGCCCTGATTCACCGCAACGGACCTCTCACGGGAGAACTGAGGCTGTGGAGCACCCAGCGCGGCCGCCGAGTTAATATACCCACTCCCAAGGCTGCTACGTCAGCACATAAGGTGCGCGCCCTCCCTCTCACATCCTCACTCCACTGCGGCTGAGACTTCTGCCCGGCTACTGCGCGCTCCGGCTCCTAACCTCGCGGGATTTCCTAGTCAGTCCCATCGACCCCTGATCGTCCTGCCTGGAAACCCCGAGAGTCAAAAGATGTCCTATTTTCTTTGAGCTTCACTTTCCCTCTTCTCACTGATAGCCTACCCACAGTCTTACAGTCTCGAGATCTCGCGAGAACTCAAAGTCTCCCTGTGGCCTCCAGCAATGAGGCCTTAAAATGCAAGTAGGCCTCTTTTTTCGCCTTTTCTCCTCTATGCACCTTGTTTTCGGTCTTCCTTTCTCTCGCCCTTCCTACCCTCTCAGTCCCTGGCTTGCAGATCTGGTGGGATTTCTTTGTCTAATCAGCCTTCCTTCTTGTGACTGCAGCTTTTCTAAAACCAGCGTTGGGCAAGAACCCGGCAACTGCGAGGGCGGCAGGCCACGCGACCGTAGGTGTCGCTCATGGTGGCCATTTTGTGAGCAGAAAACGGTGGCTTGAGTAGTCAATCATTCAGAGATATTAAGCTATGATATTGGTTGACAAAAGTACACCTAACATATTCTCAATTCACGTCCTCCTGGAAAAACGCGTCACACAAAAACAAGCATTGTTGTTTTGTTGTCAGTGTCAGTAGATTTGTCAGCCTAGGTTTTGTACCACTGACTCATTAATCCTAACAATTGTGCCTCAATATTTTCTGTTATTTTGACAATTTGTCTAGTTATGTTTCTAGCCAATAAAGGAACACTTGTCACCTTTTGAACTTCAAGCTCGCCTAAAAGTTCATGACACATGGCCTTAGCAGTAGGCAGGATCAATTCTTTACCAATAGTAAAGGGCTTCTTAGCTTTAGCAATGTGGTTAGCCATTAAGAATGATACTCTCGGGCCGAGGATTTAGCTCAGTGGTTCCGCCGCCTACCTCCCAAGCGCAAGGATCCGAGTTCGATCCCCGGTACCAAAAAAAAAAAAAGCAAAACAAAAAGACTCTCAGGGCAGACATGGTTGATGAAGTGGTGCCCTTCAAGAATTGCTTCTTTGGGTTCATGTTTTTTTCTTTTGAAAAACTGCAAAGCCTTGTCTTATAACACAGGGTTCTTGATCTTCATGTGTTTCTGTTTTGAAGGTTTCATGATTTCATTAGATAGCCAGTTGCTGTATGGTACACAAAGCAGTCTTTTAGAATGTGAATCACCTTTTGCAGTGAACCCATAATTTAAGGAGGATTCTTGGTGTTTTCTCTTAGTTAACACAGCTTTCTTTTTATTGGCAATCTTAGAGTCTTTTGCTGTCTCATCTTTGGGTCTTTCCCCCCTTTGCAAGGCTTGGCAAAGCAGCTCTCCAATGACATTTGCTTTTTACCCATTTTGGCTTAGGTTAGCTTGTGAGCTTACCAAATCTGTGACTGTGATAGTTAACTGCTTGTGTCAACTTGAGTAAGAAATGCCCGACTAAATTGACTCAGCATAGTTCTGGGTGTGGAAGACCCACCCTTGGGGAGGATTGTCGCCAGAATGGTATAAAAGGGACATGAAGAAGGAAGGCTGCTGTTTCTGTTTTTTTAGAGAAGCTTCAGTCTTTGCCTTCACCTTCAGCCTTTCAGCACAGACCCTTCAGCCTCCTCATATAAATTCTCACAGGACACTACAATGAGCTCCAAGCCTTTGCCTGGATCCTTCAGATCTCTAGCTCGTAGGCAATCCTTTTGTACTCTTTCACACATGGCTCTGTGGGCAGCCATTGTAAGTCATTCCTGTAAATTCTTATATATTTGTATATATTGCATTAAATCTATTTCTCTAGTAAGCACTGACTGATACAGTGACTGAGACAAAGTGCACAGTGTGGGAAAGAGGTGTGGATGAAAATGGTAAATAGGGTTGGGTCCTGCACAGACTAAAACAATTGTTGGATTCTGATTTAAAGCCTACCGTCAGATAACAGCTGGACTACGGAAGTACATAAACTCACTTGTCACTATGAAGCCTGTCACCAGATGCAGTTTGTCACTTGGCAATCTGATAAGGTTTTGGTATGAGCCTGCAAACGATTGATTTATTCTGGTGTCTGTGCAGTCAGACCTCTCTGGTAATGTTAATGTGTATTTGTTTTTATTTTTAAATTTTATTTTATTGGTACATTTGAGGTATACAATATAATGACATTCATCATTGGAAA